CAGTGCTTCCTGAGAAGTTGCCATGTAAGAAGTAAGAAGTTGCAGTGCTTCCTGAGAAGTTGCCATGGAGTGGGCATGATCTCCTCTTACTTTTCACAAGCTTCCTGTCAGATTGCGCAAGTGCGAATAATTAATTTGTGACACATGAATTTTGAGCATAATTTACAATAAATGTTGACTCTTCTTAAAGTTTCTGAAAGCCCGAAGGGTTTCTAGTCACTTCAGTCCATTAACGCATTTCATAGTGTTACATGCCACCCCAATCTCTGAGCAGTATGAGATTCCAGGAGTTCCAGGCACTGATCCAGGATTCATGTTTCCTTTGGAAATGTGGCAAGGCAATCAAGTGGTGTGGGTGTGTGTATGATTCTGTTCACAGAGATCATGTGTCCTATCTAATTTGACCTGCAGGATGTCCCTGATTGGTTGATCCAGCACAATTGCTATCAAGCTGGTCCTATCTCTGTTCAGTCACACACAAGATACCAGCCAGACCAGATGACTCTGTGGTGCAAGCTTTCAAAGAACTGCCAGGATTTGCATGTGAAAACTGACCCTCCCCTTCTTGATTCCCGCCAGCCAAAGTCAAGCATTATTAGTTCCTTAAATACCGGAGGACACGGCTTTGAGAAGACAGGAAACCAAACTTTCTGTTTTCTTGCCAAACAGCCTCATCAATTTCACATGTGCATGTAGGGCTAATCTAACCTCAGGGCACTTAGTGTCTTTATGTGGGTGATTATGCTTGGACACATTTTCTTCTGAAGAAACCACAGGGAAAACTATCAGGAAAGGATGCAGAAATGCTGCAAAAATCCTGCCCGGTTCCATTTTAAGGACATTTCTTCTGACTTCTCAAGGCCTGCTTCCCAGGTGCTACCAGTGGTGTAGTGGTTGATTTTAAAGTGCAGTAATTCAATAGCCACTCTTGTACCCCAAGCCTTACTTCAAGGAGCACATACAAATTATATATATTGTTGTGATCTTGCTGGGAGTGGGGTTTACGGTACTTTGTATGATGCCCTAATCCCTTCTAATCCCTGGAGTTCTGGATCTGGCAATGGTTAAAATCTAACAGAGGATTCAATTGTTGAAGTAGCCAGGTCAACTTCTTGGTAATGGCCTTAAGTAAGGGCCCTTAAGTAAGGGACGCGGGTGGCTCTGTGGGTTAAACCACAGAGCCTAGGACTTGCTGATCAGAAGGTCGGCAGTTCGAATCCCGGTGACGGGGTGAGCTCCTGTTGCTCGGTCCCAGCTCCTGCCAACCTAGCAGTTCAAAAGCACGCCAAAGTGCAAGTAGATGAATAGGTACCGCTCTGGTGGGAAGGTAAACGGCGTTTCCGTGCGCTGCTCTGGTTCGCTAGAAGTGGCTAAGTCATGCTGGCCACAAGACCCGGAAGCTGCACACCAGCTCCCTCGGCCAATAAAGCGAGATGAGCGCCGCAACCCCAGAGTTGGTCACGACTGGACCTAATGGTCAGGGGTCCCTTTACCTTTACCTTTAAGGCCAAAATAGAGTGCAGGCTAGAAGCAGGCAGAAGCCAGGGAGTCAGAGCCATGCCTGATTTTCTGTTGGAATCCAAGGCCGAGGCTATGGGAGAAGCAAGACCATATGGCAGACCACTGTGAGAACAGCATGCTGCACTAGATGGGCCATTGGCCTGATCCAGCAAGCTCTTTAATTTGAGGGTGTTGAGAAATGTATGGGAAGAATTTTTTTATTTTTTTTTAAATGTTTGGTCACTCACCTACGTTTAATAATGATGATGATCATAATGATTATGTAGACTCAAGCCAAAGCTGATCTCTTTCCTGCTGATTTAAGCGTGTGAACATGCAAAATCAGAATTCAACTAATAGAGGTTTAGGCTCACATATGACACTGCACATGATCCACCATAGTACTTTTAAGGCTCACTGATTTTGATCAGAGTCCTAATCTTATTTACGGTACCTTGCCAAACTGCAAGACACAAATAATTGAACTTGGATTTAGTTTTGCCCAAAATAGTTGTGGCTGGAATGCAGTTAAAGGGAATCTGTGCAGAGTTTAGTACAGACTGTAGATGCCATCTGAATGCTGCAGCATATGACCCACTTGGCCTACATTTGTGGAGGCATGATAAAGTTTGGGCTGCTTTCTGCACTGTTCCCTTTCTGAAACCAAGAGCTCACCTGCTTATTCCATGCCTAGAAAGCACAGGTCTGAGTGGTTTCCCGCTTGTCTTGCACTTTCTAGGCATGGGTCCAAAAGGTTTTACTTTTGCCCTCTCTTTAGTGCTAAATCAGAACAAACAGCAATTAGGCAGGAACCCTAAAGATTGGGTTTCCTCGGAGGAAAACAGTAAGGCAAATGGAGGTGTGGATAAGTCCAAAGTTGCCACATCTTTGCCCCAAGTCAAATGCTCAGTCTCCATTCCTGGCAAATTTGCCATGGGAACTGGCTCTCACTCCGTCTTTTGTGCAGTTTGGGTGACCCCAGTTTGCTCAGTGGTGAGGACCTGCAGTAGTGATATCACTGACAGCGAAAGAAGAGAGCTGCAGGCTGTACAAAAGCAAAATATGAACTTCCACATACTGCCAGCATGAATTAAGAGGCAGGGGCAGCCTCAGTGGATTATGTGCTCTATCACTTCATGTTTTAATGACTAGAGCAAAAATTGAATGTATGGAAGAGGTCTTTCCAGTTGTGCATTACAGTTCTGAGTGTTCTGCAATTTTTCAGAATGTTTCTCACTAACTATATGGATGCCCAAAGTAATGCATAAAATAATTGTTCCTATTGCTTTATTCAGATTAGGCTGTGCTTTGTTTTTAGAATTATATTTGTTTTGTTTTATTTTTTTAAAAATAAGTAAAGAGTAGATTTGAAAACATAAGGGAAAACTGAAACAAAAACTGATACTCAGGCTTTACAAACTATACCAGTAATTCACCCGTGTTGTCACTTTTAGTCATATACAGTAATAAGCAGTAGCACATGTATGCATTTTTTCCTGGGAATTAGGGAAGAGTGCAGTTTCTTATATTGAAATAAATACTTTTAAAGTTCGCTGCGGGTGAAGTGTGGGTGGATATTTCATGCAACCAATATTTCCCTCAATGAGCAATGATTTCTCAGTGACAAAATGGTGGGAAACAAAGGAAGTAGTCCAACATATAGCTACTATAATTTGCACAAGATGCAAAGGTTTGGTTAGCTGTGCCTAATTTAAAAAATGGTTGCAAAATCCATCATGTGTTTGGAGAACAACATTTTAATAGATTCCCACCACTTGTTCATTGCAAAAATGATTATTAATTGGTCAAAAATGAAAACAGAACTTCTCTCCCGTTTCCTCTCCCCGCACCACCATGCTGGTTCCCCCAATACCTCTAGACCAGATTTGGGGAGGGCATGAGGGCACATGGGGAGAAGAGAGGGTGGGTTCCTTCTGTTGTGCAGATGGAAATCCTTGTCCTAGCAGATCTACTTTGTTGGATACCACCCTGTTGAATAATGAGAAGGTAGTATAAATCTTAAGTACTGCTCAGTAACACAGATAGATTCATATGGTTACTTTTCCCAGATTAAAACTTGTGCATGTCTTCAGATTGCTTTCAGATCACAATATGAAAAGACTCATTCAATTTTCAAAATAGAAATATGTTGTGTCATGATGTCAATGTTTTCAATATCATATCTAATGAGAAGACAGACTTTAGAACAATGGTAACCTGTTCATTTCTATTTCTGCTTTAGGCAGAAATTGCACCAACATTTTCTGGTAATTGTTAAATGCAGAACAATGGCTAGATAGATCAAAGAGCTGGGTCAGCAGGGGAATTCAGATATGTTATGAACTGCAAGTATAGGCTTCTATCAGATGAATAATGGCCAAAGAATTATTGTTGCTACTCAGTCGATCATTGTTTTCAGATCCACTTGCTTCTTCTCAATTATACCTTTTCTTCTGCCATAAACATCTATGGAAAGATTGAGGAGGTTGGAGAAGGAACTTTGACACTTCATGAAATCTAAAGCTGATAATGTGTATTTACAGCAGTGCATGTGGACTTACAAGAATCTTCCTGACCTTTATGTTTTCTTTGCCAGGGCTTTATGGGTGGAATTTGCTAGCATGCTGTTTCAAGTGTTCCATCTGAGCAATTATATCAGCTTGCCAGACTGAATTATGCCCCTTGCTTCCCTCCATGTCTTGTTCTTGGTGTTCTCCCAACCCCCATGCACAGCTCCTGCAATGCATTATTTGTTTTAGCACCTTCACTACTTGGCCCCTGGTGACTGTGGATGCTTTTGCATTGGTCTTTCTGCCCTGTCTTTGGCTGGCATGTTACTCTCTGTAACAGTTGCCACATCCCATACATATCCCACTCAAACCCACACCTTCTGCTTTCTGTTGTGTTGCCCTTCCCTCGCTGAATGGGAACCATTGTGGTGGTGCCCATTTTTTCATATCCTTTATTGCGCTTGCTTGCGAAAAGCTTGTTCCCTTTACTGAGACAGTGATACAAATGCGTTTTGTGGAATGTGGATTGCCACAGAGCCATTGTTTTCACAGCAAGCCTCCTTCTTCTGGAAAGCTTTTGGGATATCTGTGCAGGCCTTCCACCCTCAGCACTATAGTAGCTGATTCTCGGGGTAGTCTTGTGGTGTTTGGCTGGCTGCCTCATTGGATGCTGTGTATATGTATACTGAGATGGAGTAGTTGCCAGGCATTAATTGGTGCATGCCATGCATACTTATTTTGGGGGTGTTGTTGGCAACATTGTGATTAGTGTGTAGCAATATATTTTCAGAGGTGCTGTAGGAGTGGTAGTTGGTGTTCCTACATTAGTACAGGATTGTTGACCCAGCTTTAGCCCTAGCAAAATGTCTTCCATAATATGGCTCTATTCATATGTGAAATATGTACATGAATAATGAGGTGATCATAGAATTGTGGAGTTGGAAAGGACTATGAGGGTCATCTAGTTCAAATCCTTGCAGTGCAGGAATATTTTGCCCAATGTGGGGCTCGAACCCACTATTCTGAGCTTAAGAGGCTCATGCTCTACTGACTGATCTACTCTCACTCCTGATGATTTCTCTGTCACTAAGGAGCTAAACTGTGGTTCTCCAGATATTATTGGACTTCAACATCCATCAACCCCAGCCAGCATGCCCAATGATCAGGGATGATGTGGGTTGCAATCCTGCAACATCTGGATGGTCACAGGTTCCCCACCACTGCTATGTGGACTTTCACAGTTCTTTGCATGCAGCATAGATTGCATCCAACAGGGTGACACACACAAAACAACCCTTGCTGGATTGAAATTCCTATCTACAAGAGCTGTACTCTTCTTACTTAAAAAACAACTGGACTCTAATCTGCTTCATAATAAATGTGTTGGTCTTTAAGGTGCCACAATCTTCTTTTAGCTTGTATCCAACATTAGTCATACTCAGAGTAAACCCACTGGGTGGTATTCAACTAGTTTTTATGCTAGCACAAGGATTAGTCCTTGCGCAAGGGGATTTTCCCCTCTCCACTCCCTGTGCACACCTTTCACTGTCCCCAAAAATTCTCTGGAGAGTTGGGGAAAACCCAAGACGGGATTTAGAGGGAGGAGAGAGGAAGAATATACTGTTGTGCAAAGAGAAATGCTTGCACCAATGGCCTTAGCTGCTTTGAATACAACCCACTGAAATTAATGAGCTTGAATAAATTAGGTCCATCAATTTTAGGGGTTTACTCTGATTAAAACCTAGTTGGATGCAACATTTTGTTCTTGCTGCTTCTGTAGCAGCAGACTAACATGACTATCTCTCTGAATTTTTCCATCTCATACGTCCACATAATATTTATAAATGGAACACAAACTTTTGTTGAAACTATTCCCTCTTGCTGATAACACTAAGGTTGCAGGTTCAATTCCTGTATGGGGCAGCTGCACATTCCTGCATTGCAGGGGGTTGGACTAGATGATCCTCAGGGTCCCTTCCAACTCTACAATTCTTTGATTCTATGTTATTGAGTAATAAGTATGGGACATTTGAACAGGGACACGTGGCTACAATTCTTCACTCAGCATGGAGTTACTTCATTTGTGTTTGTCTATTGAGACATCATCAGTAAACTTTTTTGACTTGAATACGTGTACCTCATTCATGCCCCAGAAATGTTTATTTCTCCATAAGGAAAGTAGTACATTTTGGAATACGTGTCTAAGAATTTCCCCCCCAAAAAGAAGGAAGTTGAAAAGAACAAATGCTTGCATGCAAGGGAGCAGCCTGAGACAGTGACTCATTAAGTTCCTTGTAAACGATGGCTGTGAAGACCATACAAATTGTTTCTCACAGTTTCAAGCTCAAGTGAGACAGCAATGAAGGGCTATTTAAGGAGCACCCAGGAACATAAGTAACTTTTTTTTTGACAATGATCATTTTTTTGGCAGACAGCCTCACTTAAAGGTTCCTCCTCTATGGAAATAATTTATGTCCTGTGGCACAAAAGCCTATAGCAAACCAAGAACAACCCTGTTTACCTGAAATGACCCTGAACTCTCTCTGATTGTGTTCAGTGTCCTGGTTTATTGACAAGGTTAGGAACACCTGCACATACTGGCATGTACTACTGAGGCAAAGGAAGTAATATTTCTACTTGCTTTGATTTCAGTCTTATATTCTGTGGATACAACACATGACAGACACAAAAGCAGAGGTTGCCAACCTTTTGGGGCTTGTGGGCACATTTGCAAACTGGAGAAACTGTGGTGGGCACCAACCCCCCACCCCAAGCACACACCACAACCTATTCTATTGGCTACAATAGGACACTTCTTTCAAGCTGAACTTCAGTAGAGGGAGAGGGCCCTGTGGATGTTAGGGAAGACATCTGTGGGTGCATGTGCACTCACGGGTGCCATGTTGGGAACCCCAGCTCTAAGGAAATAGTCCCATTGCTATCAGCATGCATGACGCAAGATAGGATCAAACATTACTGGCATACCTGCACAATATTTCTGAAGGGTGTTCATTGTGCAACCAGTATACATACTGGGGAATCCACTGTTCAGAAGATGGGGACAGCATGGACCAAGCAGTCTACACTGCAGTTGAGTGGGGAAGCACCTCTTTCCCCCAGGTATGTGCTTTGTCCCACTGGACTCGAAGGATAAATGTTTGTTTAGTAGTTTGACCCAAGTTATGGACTGCACAGTATGTCCTTCCATCTCTTACTTTATGGCAATGACTTGTAAGGTCTTGCCTTTTGAGGGAACCATAAGGAACAGACACTGTCTGGAATGTTTTTTTACTGAAATCCCTGTGCCTTTCTGCATTTAGCTTCCTCTATTTCTCTCTCATCTGTGCAGGAACACATTCTTTCCATTGACAAATAAGTCTGGTGACTTATAATGATGGAAATGTTTTGACTATTTTAGGAATGAGGCCTGTTGATGCTTTTATCTTGCTGCCAAATTCAGTAACAATTTTCGCCCTTGACATGACATTGTCTTCTTTGACTCTAGCAAGCAACAGCAAAATTGCAGCTACACACAAAGATATAATTTGATTTACTTGGTACATTTATATAACTCTGCTTAGAGCAATTCAAGCACAATGACTACAAACACTAGTTCGTTGGATTAGAACAAGGCCTATCAGGACCAAGATTCTCTGTCACACAATGGCCAAATAGAGGCTTCTAGTATCTCCCAGCATGGTCATGCCATGTTTGTGTCCAGTAGTCAAAGGGGGTGAATATCTTATGGCCCTCCAAAAATTATTGAAATCCATCTCCCATCAGCCCATGCCAGTATTGCCAATGATGGAAGGGGAAGTCCAACAATAGCTGGAAGGCCATAGGTTTCTGTTCCCTGGCATAATGCTTCAGGACTTTTCCATTTAGCCACCAGGGCTAACAGCCATTGAGAAATCTATCCACCTTCCTAAAAAAAGTCTTGTATGAGTCCTACTGTGATAAAAACAGCAAGGTTAAAAATTGCAGCACTACCAAGTCAAAATGTTACAAGCTGCCACTGCAGATATAGACATTTGGGTGTACAAATTATCACATTCAAAATAAGCACGTCAGTAAAAAAAAATCTACATGGAACATAGGGAGTAAATAATAAATTGGTTTAATTTGGAAATGCAGTAAAGTATTGCGTAAACAAGGAACCACAGAAAGAGGGGGAGGGGAGTCGAAATAAGATATATATGATAAATTGTTTGCTTTTCAAGTTTTTCTTTTTTTGAATTTTTGTATGTTGTAAAATTAATTATATAAATAAAATTATTTTTAAAAGCTCATGCGCAGTGGTCCATAGAAATATAGAGTTTGAATGAATGTGGACCTGCATTGGCAAAGGACCTGAATATCTAATTTATCAGCTTACATTATGCCTGTTACAGGGCGCAGAAGGAAGAGGAGACTAGTCAGTCCCTCTCTCTCACACACATGGCTGCAGGTAAAGGAATAATAAGCTAGCCAGTTTGCTGAAGCAACCAAGCTAGACTGCATTTTACCACCGCCAGAACAAAACTGGGGGATTGATCCTATATCAGTATTCCCCCAAAGAGAGAACTGAAGGATGTTTCCATATTCTTCACAAGGACATTGGAAATGTGCATAGGGGAATGCAAAAATGCATTGTGTCCTCATGTGGGCTTTTCATGTGGCTGTCCACTGTGGGAAACTTGATTCTTGACTAGACAGTCCTTATGTTCTTCGCTCAGACAATCGGTCTGTGTATCCCAAAACAGTGTACTCTTGACAAGCAGTATCTTTCCAAGGGCTGAATCTCAGCCCTCCTACCCAAGTTCTTTTAAGATGCCTGACACTGAACCTTATGCAAGAAAAGCAGGTGTTTACCACACTGCATGTACAGGCAAGGATGCAAGCAAAGCAAACACACTGATTCATGGTGCCTATGATCCGCAAGGTAGGGACAATATAGTAAAATATATCCTCCCAGAAAGATGTGAGTGTTTGCATTTTAAAGGTGCCACAGAACAATAGAATCCCTATTCAAGAAACCTTCCTAGCATAATAACATCCAGGAAATCAGCACTGCCCATATTTCACCTTTCCTGTCTTGGTATAACTTGAGCAAGTGTAGTCTTGTCAGAGAGGCAGTGTGTTTCATCCGTACAATGCCACCAAATTTATTCTTGAAAATGTTTGTCTAGTGCTATTCTTATGCATCCCCATTTCCAAGTGAAAAGTGAAAGGTGAGGATGGGGAACCTGCTGTCCTCCAAAGGCTGTGGCCTTCCACTTTCTCCAGCTCTCACCATCGGCCAGGCTTACTGGAGCTGCTGGAAGATGGACTCTGATAACATCTGGAGGGTTACAGGATCCCCACCCTTGGTGTAAAGCAACCAAGTGTTTTCATATTCTTGTGCCAAGTTTGAATATTACACACACACACACACACACGCACACACACACACACACACACACACACACACACACACACAGCCTGCCAATGAATACTGACAATAGACTTTGCATTTTGCCTCATTTGCTTTGGCAGCTTTGACTAAAATAGAAGAAGATGCTTTCTTTCCTCTCCTGTGGCTCATGTGATGTGCAGACAGCCAACCACAAGTTACACAAACAAGTTAATCACCCCAAATTCAAGAACAGCAAGCAGAAAACTCAGAAACTTCAAAGCTTAAATTGCTAATTTCCACAGTTATCTTTGAGAATAATGCCGGATACATGAAGTGAGATGTTGCAGGGATCCTTAAATTCCCGCTTGCAAGAGGAAAACTGAGTTTTTCTGCAAATACTGCCTACATTCACACCATACATTTAAGACGCATTTAAAGTACAAAACTTCCCCAAAAGAATCCCGGGAAACTATAGTTTGTTAGGAGTGCTTGGAATTGTAGCTCTGTGAGGGATTAACTACAGTTCCGAGGATCCTTTAGGGGATGCTGTGTGCTTTAAATGCATGGTGTGGATGTGACCACTATGTTAGGTTGTTGTTTTTTTGGTGTTTTTTTTTTAAAAATACACTCCATTTTCCTTTATAAAGGAAACTCAAAACAGCACAAAGGAAAAGTTCATAAAATACCTAAA